ATCGCAGGGACCACTAGGGTTGTCATGATGATACTCCCTAGGACTTGTATAGTGCTCTTTTGTCTTTAGATTTTAAAGCTCTTTATGGAAGAGGTCAGTATCATTAGACCTCTTTTACAGATGATGAAATGGAAACACAGAGGTGACCTAAGATGACCCAGCAGGTCAGTGGCAGAGCCTGAAAACCGTGGCCTTCTGAGCCTCAGACCAGGGCTCTGGCCAGGATGCAACAACACATTGCCGTACAGAGGATTTTAAATTAAACAACCTACCATCCCAACCTTTTCAGTTCCTTAACTGGTGAACTACCATTATTATACACAAAGAAATCCTACTTCAAAGCAGAAAACAAACAGGATTATCTGTTTTTGAATTTTGAAAAGGATCTTGTTTAATGATGCTTAAGTGCATCTGACATATTGCACAACTTGTGATGTCATTTGTTAATCTTTTTAACTTTCCATCTTATTGTGACAGACTTTTGAAAGCAGATAGGATAAATGAGATTAAATCTATCATCCGGAATTATTCTGCACAGGGTTATGTGCAGAATTGCTCTGTGCCAAAGATGTATAATTATACAGAAAATGCTGCCTGTGTAATTGTGTGCTTAGCTGAGAAGAATTTGAGATCCGTAATTATCTACAATATGTGTTTGTGGTGTGGGCTGGCTCTAATTTTTACAGTAAACAAAGGATTCCCATCCTGGCTAGTTTCTGCCTCTAGTAGAGCTTGCATCCCCAGTCTTGAGACAATATTGGTCTTCAGGATTTCTTTTTTGGTTAGCTATTTTAAGTTAAACTTGGAATAGGGGGGTTGTGATGCCCTTCATTTCCATAAAGGTGAAACCAGCACAGTGAACTTGAATTTTCTTTTTTTATCATTATGTGAAGAGCTGGGACTCTTACAAATTATAGCCAGATCAAGTGAGGCATATCCAGTTACTTTATACAGAAACCAAGTCAAATCATAACACATTTGGCATTGCATCCCGTCATGTAACATTTTTCCAGAGGCAGTTGTTTTTAGGTGCTTCTGTGAACGTAAGGAGACAGAGCTCGCTCTAGTAGAAAACTGACTCAAGTTCAGGAAACAAAGGTGTCACATTGAACCTTATTTCTATGTCTGGCTACAAATCCACATTGGAAATGCCTGGCTTTAATTTTTTCTGCAGAAACAAATCTTTACTGTAATTCCACCAAAGGGTTAGATGCTGCCCTTGGTTCTCTATAACTACTTTGATCTTACAACATCGGTGTCAGCCGATACATAATTCCATTGTGTACAGTGCGTGAACATGGATGGTATGGGGTCACACTATGGTCTGTCACTGGGGCTTGCTGCACAGCAGTTGTGTGTCAGTCAATACACATGAAAACATCTATACCACTTAGGAGCACCTTGGGTTGGACTAAGGCAGTGTTCTGCCATGCTACCCACCTGCTCCAGAAGGTGATGCTGCACACTGCATGGGTGAAAGCTCTTGCAGACAGACATTTGTGACGTTCCCATTGGGCAGGAAAACTACAAAGGCATTGCAGCAGCAACCTGAGTTAATCAGGTCATCATAATACATTTTACAAACCACAGGGAAAGTTTTAGAAGGTGGTAAGCAGCATAGGAGAAACATACTACATACTTGGGAAGCTTCAGAAATACTTTGGAATGAGAGAGACTTCCTTAGCTACCTTGTACAGCTAGATTGCTACTTTATACAAGTTTTTCTGTCTATAAATTGGGGTTAATATTTGGGGATACTGTGAAAAATATCTAATATTGGTAAAGTGCTTTTAAAAATATATGGCTAACCTCAATGACATCAGACATGGCGTTTTTTTGGGGTTGTTGTTTTTTTTTGTTTGTTTTTGTTTTGTGTTTTTGTTTTGTTTTGGTGTTTTGTTTTGTTTTTTTGTTTGTTTTTTTTTAAGACCTTGCATTGAAATGTTAGCTTTGCAAAATAAAGACAGGTATGGCTTGAATCCAAATTCCATTTACCTGAATTGCTAACATTTTTAAGGGAATTTTATTTCGGTTTGGCCCATACCCTAGTGCTACTACTCTTGGAAATGCATGTACTGAAGAGAAGATATTTTCAAAGTAAAAGGTATGGAGAATAAATAAGAAAACCCAGTTGTATATTTGGATAATTGAACTAAAGCAGTTGCTTTCAACCGTGGTCTGCAGATCACTGGGAGTTGCAGACTGTCTAAGGCTAGGGACAGAAGTTGTACATAAACCAGTTTAAGTGGTCAGAAACTGGTTTAAGCCTGTAACAGAATGTAAGTTCAGTGCACGAAAACCAGTTTCAAAATGGCTGAAACCAGTTTGAGATAAACCTGGTGGAATGTAGTATCAGACTTCACTGAGTTGAGTCAAACCAGTTTATGCAATATCTATCCCAGACCCCTTCCTGGTTTAAGTTAAATTAGAGTCCCCCAGCATCGCAGCATGCTTTTCAGCCCTGAGCTGGGCTGTGCTGTCTCCAACAGAGAAGGGTTGTGGGGGGAGGCAGAAACTGCCCCCACCAAGGCAAACCCCAGCTGGGGGCTAGGGCCAGGGAGGAGGGTTAAACCTCCCTTCCCCCTTGATGCCAGCAAGTTCCCTGGGATTTGCAGTCCAGAATCATAGAAGCCAGACTCTGCAGGGTTTCTCATCACTTCCTCTTTCTGCATCCCAGTGCCTCTGGGATTTGTAATCTACAGTCGCAGCCAGCAGTAACTTTCAGTAAGTTTAGTAGGGCAGGGCAACTCTATACTCGGGCAAAAGTGGGTTTACCACCATCTTTTGCCCCAGGCCCCAGCTGGGGTTTGCCTGGGGAGGTCAGCAGTGTTCCCTCTAAGTTGCACAGTGTACACAGCTGCTCAGGCATACCTTGCAACACGGCATGAGTGCACCTGCATGGTTGTGCATGCTGTGCAGCTTAGAGGAAACACTGGGAGTCAGTCCCTGCCTCTCCTTCCCTCCCCCTTAACCCTTCTCTGCTGGAGCAGACAGCTCAGCCAAGGCCTGGGCTGGAAAGCATGCTGGGATGCTGAGGGACTGTGATTTAACTTGAACAAGGAAGGGGTCTGGGACAGAAGTTTCATAAACTGGTTTGACTCGCATCTGTTAAGTCTGATACTACATTCAACCAGGTTTAAACCATTTTGCCAACTGGTTTGTGTACTGAGCTTCTGTTCTGTACACAGAACAAGTTTAAACCAGTTTCTGATCACTTAAACCGGTTTATGTGTAATGTCTGTCCCTAGATTTGCAGCTTAGTTGGTAGCAGCCTATTTTAAAGACAGTCTATAGAATAAAATGGGGCAAGCCTGGTTCTGTTCTAGTGGGTGCAGAGGGAAGGGGAGTGTAAAAGTATCTCTGAGCACTGCCCCATTCCCTAGTGAACGCAGTGTGAAAATGGCTCTGTCATTCTGCACAAGGGCCTGTTCAGTATTCTTTCTCCAAGGTCAACAGTACCATTCTCAGCTGTTTAAAATAAATGACGTGTCTCGCACAGAATGGTTTGAATTAGATTTGGGGAAAGACAGGTTACGTTATGGTTATTACTGTTCTGATAGAGCTCAGCCTTACAGACAAAGTGGCTCAAATATAGATATAACATAGGAAAAATATAACCTTGGATATAGGCTGCTGTTTGATTGGTACTAATGGCAGGAAGGCATTTATTAAGCTGCTGTGCCCACAGCAGGGCTGGGGGAATGCCTGGTTGTTGGGACTGTAGGTACACTGTCAGTTGTGAGGACTCATGCTTTTTGGGAAGAATTCTGTGTTTTATAATTTTGTATTCCTGTATAGAAAGCCAAAGTGTGTGCTATTCCTTTTAGCAAGCTAATAAGGACAAAGGCCTGTCGACACAATACAGTCGAACATGGTACAGTGTTGGACTTCTATTTCTGAGGGGCAATAAGTGGTAGGAAGAATAAACACATGCCTTGAAAATGGAAAGTTGCCTGTAGTGTCATCTCTTTTATGGAAGCAGTCTGTGGTCTGCCCTGGTGCCCCCATCCCTTTAGCGCAGGGCCAGTCTCTTTTGAAGGCTTCTTGGAACAACCTCTTTGGTTCTCCGCTGCTTTGCAGATCTCCTGTCTTTTGCCCTTTACCTCATACCCCAGTTGTGCAAGTGCCTAACAGAAATGCGGCACACCTTTTAAATGTTGTGGAAAGCAGTTCACAGGATAGATGCTATGCAAAGTATTTTAAGTATTTAAAATACTACTTACGACTGAAGCTTTTTACCCTTTTCTTCCCCAATGGGGAGAGGTTTTGCAGTGGTGACCTTGAGTGGTATTTAGACTAGCAGGCTCTCACAGGAGAGCCTGAGGAGGAAGCCTGGTGGAAATGATGTGTGTCTGTCTGCGTGGGCTGCAGAAGTTGATGGTTTAAAAATCAGGCTCTGATTTACACCAGTGAAGATCTGGAGTAACTCTGACTTGAAGGCAGGAAGTCACCTGGCTTTACACCAGGGGCGGGCAATTATTTCAGGTGGAGGGCCGCTTACTGAGTTTGGCAAGCCGTTGAAGGCTACATGACAGGCAGCCAGGGGCAGATAAATATATATTTTTTAAAGTTTTTAGGGGCCCCACAGGCTGAAGAGAATGGCCTGGCGGGCCACGTTTTGCCTGCCCCTGCTTTACACCCATGTAACCGTCCATCCCGGGGATAACAGGTGTGTCATGGCAGGGTGCAACATTTACACAAAAAAGTGAAATGCCAGGCCGTAAAAAAGACAATGGGGTCATTGCATAGCACAAGAGCCCTGTGAGCCCCATAAACAATGGTCTCTTTTCTGTCTTGAAAAGCAATCCTGTTTTACAGAGGACAGATAAAGCACAACTTTAATTAGCAGTGGTTTTTGTTTCAACTGTTGGATAACAAATTCAACCTTTCTATGGCCCATGGGGGGTTGGCACGACCGTTTGTCTTCTTGCACGTTGTGTACAAGAAGATGCCACTTGTTACATCCTCAAGAACCCTCATCTGTGACTTTCTCTCTGCAGGTGCCCGTGGTTAACAAGAGCCATCTCCCCAGCCATTCCCGTGTACAATGGGCTCGTGTTCTTGTTTGTACTTGCAAACTTCAGCATGGCAACTTTCATGGACCCTGGAGTTTTTCCACGAGGTAATGGGGGATGGGGGAAAAACACAAGCCAAAGCAAGCAGGGGTGGGGGGTTCAAAAGCTACACGTGCTCTTTATTTCCTGCCCTCTGCAGTCTTTGGTGCTCGGCTGGCTGTAAATGTGGGGCTGCAGCTAAGCTGCGAATAGGCACCATCAGTTTCCGTTATGGGAAGGGGTTTTTTTTCTCCTTGTACTTGTTTAAACTTGCAGTCTGGGGCATGGCGTTGGATAACATAGCTCTCATTGAGAAAATGGTCTGGCTGATGTGATTGTGATTGGCAGCCCTTGTGTCACACTGGCACATTGGATTTAAGTCACTGCCTTCACAATTGGCGGCTGAGCACTGTGTAGTGGAAGCCTGAGCTTTCTAAAGCAGCGGTATTAAAGCAGATATTCATTCCAGTGAGGCTTAGGTCAAATGCATTAACGCTGAACGCTAGAGATAATGATGGGGGCTGCCTATGTTAGAATAGAGACTTCTTTAGCTTACATTTAAAAATAGATGCCCGTTTAATTTAACATTGGGGCACAGCTGATTTAATTGGATAAACACTGTCTGTTATATAAAGGGAACAGTGATTGTGACTGTTTTGAACCATCAAAATGAGGAAATCGCCATCTCGCCGTGTCTCTTCTTCATTACTCATATGCACGTACTGTGCAGCAGACCCTGTTGTGGGGAAGTTCTCTGGACCAGCTGATCCCTGCTGTGGCCAAACAGCATTCAGTGCTTTCTTTGCATGGCTCGTTTGTCTGAGCTGAACAACATAGTGATGAGCCTGTTATATTTCTATGGTTTTTTTTCAACTGGGAATCTTGGACCTTTTGCAAATATTGATTAAGCATAACAACACCCCATATAGATAGATATTACTACATGTTTAGGGAACACTAAAGCACTTAGAAGTTAAATAGTTTGCCCAAGGTTTCATGGGGCCAAATTGTCATGGGTATTTAAGTATATAAAGATGCACACAGGCATCTAGCATGATTTTCAAAATCAACCACTTAAATTAATGAATTAGGCACCTATGCTCTTCGGAAAATCTCATGAAGCTCCTTTCTGTATCTTGAAGTGTCTAAACACCTTAGATGGACTGGCTGCAGGATGACCAGAAATAAAATCCCAGGCTCCTGACTCTCATCACTTGCTTATCTTAGCAGGGAGGACAAAGGTTACACCAGTTTTTGAGCCGTGTTCTGTGATTTTTTTTTTCAAAAGCACTCAGCCTTTCTTGGCTTCAGTGGGGTCAGTTCAGAGTGAGGCAACTGGGAAGCACATCTGAAAATGCAAGTCTACAAGTCTAATCCTGTTCCCATTTGAAATCAGTGGGAGGACTGAGTTCAGCGTGCAGCACAATATGCAGCATAATCAGTTTTCTGTTAAGGTGCTTGGAAATCCTGGGGTCTTTTCCTAGGAAACCCAATCATTGTCTTATCCTTTTTACATATAGAGGGGGCTGCTTCACTTGGGCTTAGGCTTGCTGTGCATTCCTAACTTTCATAGCAACCGTTAACTGGAGAACTCCTGGTGCTGGTGCTCTGTACCAACTCTCAGGGCATTTTGCTAGAGGAAGCAGGGAGCTTGTGACAGTGCCCATACTGTACCAGATTTCCTGGAGGATGCAATCCTAGCTCAGGTCCCCTGCCCCTTGATTACATGGGCAAACGCATGCTGGCCAACTAAAAAAGCAAAGGGAGTAGACATAGTGTGTGAAGATGCAGGAAGGCAACAGCTTGAAATAAGATGAAGTCTACTTCCTTTCCTCTGCATTGGTGCTGATCACCACTGACTACCCACAAGGAGTATGTAGGAGATATGGCAGAACCAGTGGGACACCGGTCCTGCCCCAGTTCCTTCTTGGTGTAGATAAGGATAGTGTGGGCCAAGCATGAAAGGGCCTGAAGCCATCTGTTTGCTTATGCATCCTGGAGTGCCTCGAGGATGGCTGAGGGATCTAACTGAGAGAGCCCCTCAGACCTGCCTCCAGCTGTCATGGGAGGGGGCACTAGCCACATGCACTAGCACTGAGGTTTTGCTGGGTGGTGCCACAAGGACCTGTTAGTGCACAGGGACAACCAGAGTCTCCTGTCTCCTGGATGTTGTCTAGCTGCTCTGGTGGGGAAGCAGACCTCTGTGCTTGCATCTGTCTCTGACACTGCTTTCACCCTTTTCTTCTTCCATTAGGGAGAACCTTTGGCTCATCAGCACATGGAAGTCAGCGCATGCAAACTTAGGGGTGAAGTGACAGTAGACTAACCATTTTGCATTAATTCCCTGGGTGGATACGAGGCACCTTTTGTGCAAGGTGCTTTGCTTAAAGAGGAGGCAGCCACCACACGCTTAGGGCCAAACCCTATTTCACCTACATGGGCCTAAGCAGCCCTTAAATGCGTGAGTAAATGCTACTTCTGCAGATTCTTTCCCCTGATGACCTGAAGACCTGTGTGATGGCCAGAAACTAAACCGAGGGGCAGGGAGGGAACTTGTGCAGCCAGAGTGCAGCATTCAGAGCATGTTCCAGAGGCCAGGGCAGCTGTGCAAGCAGAAACAGAATCTAACTTCGGCAGAAGTGCCAATAATTGCACTTACACAGCAACCTAGGGCCCACTTAGGTGCATAAAGGTGAGTGAGGCCTTGGCTCTTAGCCTGTGCTAGGAGTGTTTGCGCAAGGCCCTAGCAGCCAGTGCACTGTCAGTTTGCACGCCAGCTTACTCTGCACTGACTTCCACTTATTCACAGGCTTTTTATTTTCATCTCTGTTGTTTTGCAATTTAAAAAAAGCACAGACAGACTGAATGGAAACTTTTAAGTGGGAAACACTCGCAGCACCTCTCACCCTTGCCAGCTTCCTTCACATAAGGGAGCCAAGGGCAAAACAGGAAGGGGGGGGAGCTTCCTCCAGCTTGCCATTCTTCTGTCCCATTCTCCTAGTTTAAGGCCTTTTGCCTTATCTCACTGTACTGTGCGCTTATGTAGACATGAAAAGGATCTGGTGCCAAAAGAGTTGCCCTTCAGACAAGGGAGGAGGGAAGCAGAGAAGAGAAGTGAGATTGCTTTTGCCACAGCAACTTCTATGTGGTAGTTTAGATATGTGGAAGAAGCAGCCTGATAACAAAGGGAAAAGTTAGGAGCATCCTCATGTGTTGGCTCACCTTGGAGAGCAGAACAGACATCACTTTAGACTGTATAGTGGTGGGCACAGGCTCCCCTGCAAAACTTCCTCCCCAGAACTGTCAGGTCCAGCTGTTGGACCTGACATTTAAAGCCAGATTAAAATCAATAAATATGGAGTTTATTTGCTATCTAGGCTTTGAACCTATGGGGATCAGACTTTGAAGCTTTTTTGCACAATCATGAGGGTCAGACACTTTCATTTGACAAAACAAATAAAAAAACCCCCTCAGATTTCCATGTTTCAGTGTGATTCCAGGATCTGGAGCTCTAGGCAAGTCACCAAACACTGCATGATTTGCAAAAAAAAAAAAAATCATGAGAATTGGCAGCTCTGCATCAGTGAATGAGAGCCCAGTAAGGCCCTGTTCCTTCCCAGTAGATTCTTATGCAGGCATAGCCCATTCAGAGGTGGGAAACGAACAGACTTCCAGAGAAGATAAAATGCCCGCTGGCAAGAAGACCTATATGGCAGTGGACTAAAACAGGTTTTTTTTTTAATAATATCATTACAGGTGGCCTTGAACCAAACCCCATGTTCCAACCCCAGCTCTGGACCCTCACTTTGGCTTGCTTCTCCTCTTAATTCCCCTGATGTAAATCAGAATTAACTCTCTGGAAGTGAATGCCATTCCACTGGTGTAAGCAAGAAGAGAATCTGTTTTTATTCCTCCATCATGGGGAAAAATCAAGGGCCAGCTTTGAGTACTGACAAATTCGGTTTAAAATTTGGATTCACTTTTGGGGTTTTCCCTAGTGGGTTAAATACTAACGACTGTAAACTGAGATGCAAAGTTGAGGGTTCGAATGGGGCCTCTTCTTAACAATTATTTAATTCCATATGGAAACTTGCCTTCGGAAGTGTGGAGCTTTTCCTTGTGGACAGTGACTAGTACTCTTGAGCTCTGTGTGTGTGTGTGTGTGTGTGTGTGTGTGCGTTTGTGTGAAGCACCAGATTTGAGAATAATTTTTTTTCTGATGGACAGTTACAGGATATGTTCTGTTGACAAGTTTTTGTCTGAATAGGTTGGCATCAGTACAAGCCATGAGCCATTAAGCCAGGGGCTTGTTTTATTCCATACTGCAGCTTTTACAATAGGGCTGTGTGAAGCTTCGGGTGCTGATTCGATTCAGAGGAGATTTGGCCCAGTTCAGTGGCTGAATCTCCAAATTCAAATCGAATCAGGGAACCAATTAAAAGGTCTGAATTGATTTTGAAGTCCCTACTGTCTGCAGCAGGGAGCTGGACCCGGACACTGAGCTGGTAAGTAAGGGGCGGAGGAGGGGAGGACAGAGGAAGGGGGAGGGGACCATGGGGGGACCCCTGCCAGGCCCCAGCCCCTGTCTGCTCCCCCAGCCCCCCCCATGGCTGCCCTGCCTGCCCCAGCTCCCTGTTTTAAAAAAAAGCCCCATTCACCAGGTGCTGCTAGGTGGGGGGGCAATCCCTGCTGCCCCCCACGACCCCAC